ATAAATGTTCCCGTTGAATGTAAAATAGGTGGTCCTTATTGTCAAGTTGATTAGTCTTGTTAACGACTCTTTCCTGATCCGTTGTGAGTCCATGATATCCTCCTCTCGGACCAGGATTTCAAGTATGGCCGTTAGTGCATTCTCTCCAGAGATATTTGTATACATCGATTCCACATCAAAACTTACTAACAAGTCCGTTTCTTGCAGTGCCATGTTTTTGATTTTTTGAGAAAACTCAGATGAATGTTTGACCGTGTTTGATAGCCTCTCATTTATTTTCTTCAGTTTCAAACATATATATATGTCGTTAGCGTCGTCTTCAACGTCGTCATGAAATGCGGCGCAGGATCTCGAGACGATTTGAAGCGACGCCACACGCTTTTTTCGTTGACGCTGACGTGGATTTCGGCGTCGTTATCAAAGTCATCATAAACTGCGGCGCAGGGTCTAAAAGAAGACGTGAAGCGACGCCATCCTCAATTAGCTTTGAGGTTAATGTCGTCTTCAACGTCGTCATGAAATGCGGTGCAGGATCTCGAGACTACTTGAAGCGACGCCATCCGATTTTAGTTTTGCCGTTAGCGTCGTCTTCAACGTCGTCATGAAATGCGGCGCAGGATCTCGAGACGATTTGAAGCAACGCCATCCGATTTTAGTTTTGCTGTTAGCGTCGTCTTCAACGTCGTCATCAAATGCGGCGCAGGATCTCAAGACGATTTGAAGCGACGCCATCCGATTTTACTTTTGCCGTTAGCGTCGTCTTCAATGTCGTCATAATATGTGGCGCAGGATCTCGAGACGATTTGAAGCGACGCCACACGCTTTTTTCGTTGTTGCTGACGTGAATTTCGACGTCGTTATCAAAGTCGTCATAAACTGCAGCGCAGGGTCTAAAAGAAGACGTGAAGCGACGCTATCTTCTATTGGCTTCGCCGTTAACGTCGTCTTCAACGTTGTCATAAAATACGGCGCAGGATCTCAAAACGATTTGAAGCGACGCCACACGCTTTTCTCGCTGTCGCTGACGTGAATTTCGACGTCGTTATCAAATTCGTTATAAGCTGCGGCGCAGGGTCTAAAAGAAGACGTGAAGCGACGCCATCCTCTATTAGCTTTGCTGTTAACGTCGTCTTCAACGTCGTCATGAAATGCGGCGCAGGATCTCGAGACGATTTTAAGCGACGCCACACGCTTTTTTCGTTGTTGCTGACGTGAATTTTGACGTCGTTATCAAAGTCGTCATAAACTGCGGCGTAGGGTCTAAAAGAAGACGTGAAGCGACGCCATCCTCTATTAGCTTTGCTGTTAACGTCGTCTTCAACATCGTCTTCAACGTCGTCATAAAATGAGGCGCAGGATCTCGAGATTATTCGAAGCAACGCCATCCGATTTTAGTTTTGCCGTTAGCGTCGTCTTCAACGTCATCATGAAATGCGACGCAGGGTCTAAAAGAAGATTTGAATTGACGCCATCCTCCATTAGCTTAACCGTTAACGTCGTATTCAACGTCGTCATAAACTGCGGCGCAGGATCTCGAGACGATTTGAAGCGTCGCCACCCATTTTAAAATTTTGCGTATATATCAGCATTTTCTTTGTTGTTCTCATCTTCGTAGACCTTATCTTTTCTTTGTCGTCAGCTTTACGCCGTCAGTTCCTTCGGCATCGTTTTTGGCGCCGCGTCTTTGGACGAATTTCAGTTCGGCTGCTTAGTCAGCGTGGCATATCGGTTCACTCACCACGCTTGAGCTCACACAAGCGCGCACACATGCACCCAAACATAACTTTCGATTTTCATATGATGACGAGTCAGTCTCTCCTGAGTGTCCGCGTGTCCGCGTGTCCGCGTGTCCGAGTATCCTGGGCTTCGTGAAGCCCACGTCGAATAAACTTGTGTCCACGTACTGAGCGATGAGCCGGTTAATTGGACTGTCAAAAGAGTGGGCCCATAAGAGGTGCTCGGTCAGTGCGTTCGGCCGTTCGGGAGCAGGAAAATCATTTATCCTTCCATCCTCTCAAGCTTGACAATTTGACGCCACACACACACACACACACACACACACCAAAAGACACATATACACCTCCATCACCACAAACATCACAAACACCACAAACACCGCCCTTCTTTTGGGTTGTGAGTCGCCGCCCTGCCAATCAGCTCGACCACACTCGTCTTCACATCCGAGCCCATGTACCCCTTGTGCCCAATTCGCCCCAGCCCCTTCGAGTCCGGGTGGGCGGGACAATCAATTAGGCCCAATTCAGTTTTGTCTTGTGACCGTCTGGCCAGACGGGCCGGTCCGCCGAGAAGGGTTGCTTGTGCAACGACTCTTGCGACACGGCAGAAGAGGGCCAATGCAATCGGAGAATTGCTACGCTGCTAGGAGGTTTGGCAAGCCAACCGTCGTCAACGCAACGGTGGCCCAGAAACTGAGAGAGTCTCTGAGGCGTTGTCAAGACAAACCAGGCCTTGGAGGAGGCCAAGAGAAGGTGCAAAGATGAGACAATTTTGAGAATTATCGAGTTTACTTTCATTTCAAATGGAAGTGTTGGGTGAAGAGATTCTATGGCCGACAGAGCATTCTTCTATATCAGCTGCCGATTAGGTTTACTGGAACATTGTAGAGCTTACTTCCATTTTGAGTGGAATTGTTGGGTGAAGAGATCCGAAGTTCGGTTCCACCAGAAGACGACGACAGATTCCTCTTGACCAGCTGTCGATTGGCTTTACTGGAAGATTCATGCTGACGCTGTTTCCGAGGCAA